GCACTGCAGGGGCGGAGTGGCCGGTCTGGAAATGGGAATTTTCCAGATGGCCTGGACCATACTATGGCCTGGTGGCCTGGCCATTTTGTTAGATTTTTTTTTAAATTTAATTTAATTTACAAAATATTAGTTAATGCTAAATGTTTGTTTCTATTAAATTTTTTTTTTTTTTAATTAATTAATTATTAAAGCTTTGGATATAAAATTACAAAATATTTGACACATAAATATAGACATCAAATAAAATCAAAGCAATATAATATTGTAATATTGTAATAGATCGGTTATTTTTATAATAAAACACCCATTTTAAACATTGAAGTATTTAAAAATTAAGCTGAGAAATTCAATGACCAATGATTATCTTGAGTCTTTTATGCTTATGGCCATTGAAAATAAAATTCTCATGGAAATAGATAACAATATTATCATAAATGCAGTTGGTGAGAAATCTAATCTATTATCTAAATTATTACTATGAATGTATAAATCTTTTTCATTATATATTGTTTACAATGTTTGTATATATCTATTACTTATTACCTTATATCTACTATACCTAAACAATTAAAACACAATGTATAATATAATTATTAATATTTCGTTGATTTCAACTATTAAACCATACCTACTAATTTTATTTTTCAGACTTTCAGGAATAAGTAGGCAGTGCCGGATCTAAGACATTTAACGCCCGGGGCTAATAAAAATGTAGCGCCCTTACATAGTATTAGCTACAGAGATTAGGGTTCAAGGGTTGTCAACACAATTAAAAAATTTTTTAAACAGGCACAAATCAAAAGTATATTTTTATATAACAAATATTTTTTATTTAAATCGTTGTCTTAACATATATTATAATATTATAGATCATAGTCTATATTATAGTTAAAAACCATTAAAAAATATAAAAACAAAAACCTAAATAAAAAATCTCTTGATTATTTTAATTAAGTAAAAAAATTATAATCTGAAAATTTAAAAATTAACTTTTCTAGCTTTTTTTGCAGCGAAATCATTAATTATGTCTTCATAATTGATTTGTCTTGCAATTTTATTTTCTATGGATAAAATAGATAAGTTATTAAGTCTTGCTTGCTCCGTAGTAGATCTTAAATATGTTTTTATTAATTTAAATTTGCTAAAGCTTCGTTCACACGATGCTGAAGTAACTGGCATTGTAAGATATATTTGGTAAGCAACGGATTTATTTGGATATGCATCTTGAAGTTTATTTTTATAAATAAAATTCAACATTTCAAAAAATGTTTCTCTTTTTAAATCGTCATCTATGTTGTAAACATGCTCTTTAAAGCTCTCTAGTTCTGAAATGAATTCAATTTTGTTGAGGTCGTTTTCATATTTATTGCATAAATCGATTCCCGCTCTTTTCAAGTTTTCCATAGGCCAAGAATAAATTATTGTTGGATCTAAAAATGAAAAATCTTGAGCAATATTTTCCATTGATTTAAATCTTTGACGTAGTCCTATTAAGATATTGTCAATAACATTTTTAATCATTATTAAAAATTTATTTTCTTCACTTATGTTACAAAACTCATCTTCTGCAATTTCTCCGGGTAAAGTTTCTTTTTTCGTAATCTGACTTTTGGAAATTCCGTTTCTATGCCTAATACTTCAGCTTTATTCTTTGAATCCAATAAAGCCTCATTTATACCTTGCACTCGAAAGTTTTCTAATATTTTAAGGAGACTTTGCAGATGTTTGATAGCTACATCAATTGTTAATTTTGGTTTTTGTAAAATTATATTAATCCTGTCAATTGCACTGAGAATTTTTTCCCAAACCGTAAGCATACAAATAAAAGAAAAACTTTTAAGTGATCTTATCAAATTATCTGCATCAAATTTTGTTTCTTCTGATAATTTTTCTTGTTGTAGAACGTCAAAGCTTTTAAAAACCATATCCAGTTGAGTATTTAATGATTTTATTGCACGATGTTTAGCTGACCACCTTGTTGTACTATACCATTTTAATGACAACTTTAAATTATTCATTAGAATATCCCATCTTTGCGTTGAACTTTAAAAGAAATTAAATAACTTCTGTACGATGCCGAAAAATGTTTCTACTTTAGGTATACTTTTTGCACAATTAAGGCGGCTCTTAGTGGCTATTATTTAAGGGGAACAATTTAGGCAATTTCTAATCTTGTCGTCGCCGCCCGTAATCTATGTGTTAGTCGTAAATGATTATTAGTGTGAAATTCGAAGAAATTCGAACTCGATAACAATAGATTTTATATCGCCCGGCTGCGGGCACACGGTTCAATAGCACACGTACGCGCATGCACAAGTCAACGTAATCACTCTCGAAAAATATTTTTGTACACTCACAACAGTGAAAAATGCTAATAAGCTGGCGAAAAATACACATACTTCTAGTAGTCCAATTTCAATTTTGAAAAATTATTTGAATTCGTCAGCCTCTTTTCTATGATTTGTAGGAAACCGATTTTGGATATTTTAGATAATTTACGTATATTACGGGGTTCCAAATGACTGCTTGATTTCTCAAATTTAACTTGCACTTTTAAGTGCTAACTAGACAAAAAGATGAAAAAGTTTTTCCTACAGATCATAGAAAAGAGGCTAACGAATCCAAATAAGTATTCAAAATTGAAATTGGACTACTAGAAGTATGTGTATTTTTCGCCAGCTTATTGGTCTAAATGCATGAAAAATCCAATCGTTTAGAGCCGCCTTAACACCAATTAAATTTGGAGTGCCGGACCAAAATATAAACAAAAGATAAACGTATTCGAATATCTAATATTATTTATTCTGTTTAAATATATAGTATTATAATTTATACATATTTTATGAGATATTTTTAGCTTATTTTTTTATTTTTCATAATCTTAAGAGCGCCCTGATACCAACAGCGCCCGGGGCAAGAGTACCCACTTGCCCCCCCCTAGATCCGGCACTGTAAGTAGGTACTAGGTACTTAGTGGTATATTAATATTATGTGTTAGAAGACAGAAGTTAAAAGAAATAGCAAGATAGTGATTGAAATACTTTTATAATACTAAAAGTAGTTTTCAAATAGGTAAATAGAAAAACCAAATTCGAGCTTAGCGAGAAAAAAAATGTTGGTGGGTGGCCTGGATAAATTTTAAACTCCCGGCCTGGATTTGGTTCCCACTCCGCCCTTGGCATGCAGACTGTAGGAATTAATCCACTTTAGTGTATGTCAAATACGTGGAATCTAATAGTTTTGGTCAGGACACGGGTTCCTTCTCTCGTGGCGCGAAGTATAAGAATAAACTCGGATACCTCTTGATTCATAAGAAACGTACACTTACATAGAGATGTCCAAATTCAAGATATACAAGTCTTGTATTACAAGAGGACAAGACCACATAAAAACCCTATTGAAAAATTGACTTGGATATAATATACTGATCAACTCAACAGGTTCACTTTCTACAATCTTATCAAGCGCATCCATCTTAATGTATTCTGTGCTAAACTGTAGCTGTCCTTACGTATTACGACCTTCTTAGTTAGTTATAACCAGGGCTCGGGACTTAAAGCACTTCAAATCATTAAAATAAGCGCTTAAATAAGCACTTCAAAACATCATTATAAGCACTCAAATAAGCATTTAAAAAACTTAAATTTAAGCAAAAATATTTATTAAAAAAAAAACAATAAAATAAAAAATAAAACTTTATCTTTATATTATAAAAAAATTAAACTTCATTTTCAGGACTGAGGATTTTATGGATTTTCCAAGGGTTTTTCTGAAAAATAAAATGTAAACAATATTTTCAAATAGTAATTAATTTTTTATTTAAATTATTTTTAATTTTAATTCTATCAAAAACAACTTTGCAGTAGAAAATCATAAAAAAGTATAAAAACTGGTCAAAAAAGCAATAATTATTAGAAAAACTTGAAATAAGCATTTTTTTGAAAAATCACTGAAAAAAGCAAAAAAAAAGCACTCTCAAATTTCATAATTGAATGTGTTGTAACATGACATACACTTCTATAGCACTCTGCTACATTTTAAGTCAATCTATAAAAATAAGCAAATGCTTTAAGTCCCGAGCCCTGGTTATAACTTATAAGTCACTCATATAACAGATAAAACGTTTATTACCTATTATTATGAATATTCCTATTATCACTAGGTACATTGTTATGTTATTATTAGGTAATTAATAATTGTCAAACCAACTTTTAATGTATTATGTATATTGTTTGATGATAATATTTATTATTATTCTTATTCCCAATATTATTTAGTTATCATGTTCAAATAGTCAAAATGTATGTATCACCATAAATATCCATTGACTACTTTTGGTTAGGAATTTCTTATTAAAATTAAAAAATATGTACATAATATAACAATTGATGGTTGCTGGTTGGGAATTAAAATACATTAGAACCAAATAAAATAAATACTGTTTTACATTTTATTGATCACTTATTAATTATTATATATAATACATACAAAAACCTATTAATATTATAAACAATAATTTGACTACCTACCTATTATAATTTATAATTACATACATTTAGAAATTAAGACAGTTTTATAAATACACTTTAAATTAATTAGAAAAAAAAAATCAAACATACATTTTATTATTATAATTTTTCTAAAATTAGACTTAATTGAGTATCAACATCCTCATTCCTCATATGTATTGGTTTGTAGAACAATGAAATAAAAATTAATACTTATGATTGCAAATTTAGGAATGCAACATAATTATTTATCAAGGGTTTAGTTTTGTTCCTTTGTCATGATAATTCATTGAAATAAACAGAAATAAAAATGACAAATATACATATAAAAATAAAAATGAAAGAAAGGAAGTATTATACATATTATATATTTCTAATAAGGAGAAAAAAGAGACCATAAAATGAGTAACCATCAAGTAGTTCATAACACAACTTTTTAATTAAAGTTAAGTATTGGTATGTCAGGTAAATCTGTTTAAAATTTGATCATAGCTATTCAATATCAACACCACAATTGAAGCTGTGTCGGTTATTTTCACTAGAAATATCATCTGAACCAGAATTATTTTCTTGAGGTGCATTTAACATGTTTAACGTCACATCAGCAGAGTTACATTTTGTATTAAGTATATTTGTTGATATTGGTGATGTTAAGGACATTGGTATTCTTGTCAATGCAGCCGGATTAATTGCTCGATTCTCATAAGATTTTCTTTTGAGAGTTGAGTGTATTTGTGATCTGGAAAGTTTAATTAGGTAATGAATTGGAAGACAGGAGAATAAAGATCAGTTAATATATATTATGTATATATTTTAATATAAAATCAAAATTATTTACAATTAAAAGTTAATTTAAAAGTGCATTGAGTTTTTAATAACTAATAAAATATCACTTAACATTAAATTGTATCACTTTAGTCTCTTAATTTAACACAAAAACATTTTGAAAGACCTTAGGGTATTATTGATTAATAATATAAAATAATTACACTGTCCGCTGTTTGATTTGGTCGCAGATAATAGCTAGGTCATCTGTGAATTTCTTTACAGCACTTTGTAACATTTCTATATCGTCATCAGTCCATTTGCTAACAGTAATCAAATGCAAAAATAACCATCACAAAAATGCAGACAAATAATAATAATAATAATAATAATAATAATAATAATAATATAATTTAATGTTGTACCTGTTGGGTGTAGGAGTATCATTTGTCGGTTGCAATGTCAATGTTAGTTCGCCTAATCTACTGAATGCGGTACCTGCAGCACTGAAAATCTCACCGACCTAAACATAAAAATATAAATTATTGAGTATTAATTAATTTAAATATTATTTTATTTAAACTGTTTAAAAGCAATGGTTTACTTTAGCTGCTGAACTTTGATTGCTCATTTTGTTCACTCGTTGAATTTGGAATACTTTAAAAAATGTCACTGTAGATACTAAATTTCATAAAAAATGTCTAAAAATAATTAAAATTAATAATTAATAATATTATCGTAAAAGATAATAATATTATACATTTATACTAGGTACATAATGATATTAGTAAAAAAAAAATTAACATTGTTGATAGTTGTGTTCTGATAACACCGAAATGACACAATCTGTGCCGTAATTCGTAAAAGCGATACCACAAAATAGATTACGCGCCATTTTGTACGAAATTTTCAAGTATCTATAAAGTATAAGGATAATAAATAATAATAAATATTACGAACAAGTATTTAAAATGTGATATTCAGCAAGACTGCTGGTAGTTATTCTCAAAACTCGAGAATTAGAGAATATTAAGTTTTTCAAATAACAAACCGATTACTGAAATATAAAACATACGAACAATGTACATACCTACAATTGATTATAATATTATAATAATAATAGTTAATAGTTTAACACAACAAAAAATAAAAATATAACATCAAGTTTGAAGGGGCAAGGATTTGTTTTAATTTTTTTAGCCACTCCTGTCTCTACCGCGGTAACACTGGTCGCGGTATTCTCGGCTTGTACCACAGAACATATTTCTAACTCTGGAGGGGGTACTGTCCGGCGGGCGGCGGCTGCTCCCGCCCTCCCCGCACCCCGCCAGTCCAACGATCCAATTCCGTCGGTGACGAAGTTTCAAGTTTATTGAACGGGATCCGTTTGTTTTTTTTTCTCTCCTCTCGTATTGTGCTCGTATCTACAGTTATAATAACGCAATTAACCGTGCAGTGCGTCAATACTCAATAAGTAGCCGGACGTTTATCGAGAAATGACAATTCGTGTATGAAGGAGAAATAAACAAAAATCATATTCGTAATTGGTGCCGAGCGAACAAGGTAATTAGACGTTTTATGTTTTTGTGTAATCGATCCCGGCGCCACCGAAGCCGTGTCGCTTTTTCTCTTTGCCACACCCAGCTTGGTGAATACATTTACTACGACATTTTCTCATTTTTCATTTTTATGGGGCCACGGATGTCTGACATCCGCACGATCAAGGGTCTTGCTCGTAATTTATTTCCCGAGCTGGAAGTCCTAATCGTATTTGACCTACCACTACTCCACTATAATGTCTCCATTATATATAATAATATGTACTTACCTTCGATAATATATTATATTATTGACTTACCTATTTTATAGGCACTTGATATCTAATGGTAGTTTATTAGTCGTCTTTCTAGTATCTGTTCTGCAGTTTCTAAGACTACCCACTGACTGTATGAAGTTAACCCATTTAATTTCGTTAATAGGATTTGTATTTTTGTAAATCGACAATATGACATCAGTGCTAGTTTTGCAATGCATAAATGACTCAGTAAAGGTTAAGTTGTTACTATTTTTAAAACCTTAATAATTAATATTTTGTGAAATAGTCTAATAGTCATGTAATTAAGGACTATTTTATATTGAATTTAATATTACAGATATTGTGCTTAGTAAGTGGTGTTTGATTTTATATTAATTAACATAGATCAAAAATATATAGTTAGGTTTAAATTGAATTAGTTTTTCATTAGATAAATATTATTTTATAAGACTTTAAAATCATGGGTTCTCTACTATATAATTGAATATAAAGACTTCAGACTTGTTAATGATGTCTGTATACATGTTAAACTATGTATTATGTGACACACAAATTGACTATGCCATTAGACATTAGTGTACTAATGTAACTAGTAGTTACCTATAAATTTAAATACCTAACCATTTAGAGTTAAATTAAAACTTAAATCTAAAGTTGTATAATGCTTGTCATATTATGACAACATATTTCACTGCAATATACCTGTCAAAATATAATCTAAACAATATATTAATTATTTATACATATTATCAACTATCTAGTTTATACCCAACTGACATTGGTTGTATCCTACTATGCTTTATATTTGTACCTAAATAACTAGTTACGAGGATGACCGAGGATTCTCTCTATTTCTCAAACCTGTAATACCTGCACTAAAAACATTTAACTAAAAAATATTTAAATATCTGTCATTAATATTAGACATTAAAATTTTTAACCTTCCTAAAACAATGATTTTAAAATCAATGGAGACCTTTTATCAGAATTAAAATAACATATAACAAATTTACATCTTCTAATGTTGTGGTAAAAACAACTAGGTATCTTTATTTTAATATTTTTTATTGTACTTAATAAATTTGACCTTGTAATAATTTTAATATTTATTTAAATTTGGTTTGAACTGCTTAAAGTTATAGCATACTTAAACAAAATAAAATAAAACTATTAACTCTTTTAAACTAGATGGTATGTACATTCAGATGATTTTATTGTTAAAATATGGTAGAAATAAGATTAAAGTTCAAAATTATTTTTAATTGTCTATACTATTATTGTTTATAGGTACTTATAAACAGATGAAATAATTAAAATTGGAATCATTATACATTTTGATTGTAGACATATTAATAAATCTTAAATAATATTAATAGACGTATGTCTATGATTTTATTGAAGAATTAATATTTTGTGTTTACTATTTACACTACAGTATATCTGATATCAGTTATCACAATATGTATCAGTAAATAATAAATAAATAAGTAATTACAATAAATCAGTAAACTCATATGATAATCTACTACCTAATTGGTAATTTTCATTCATGATTATTTTAAATAATCATCACTATTTACTATATTTAGCCAATCTTTAAATAAATATCAATAATTACTTATCATACTAACTGAACATATTAAAATGTTGTCACTGATTTTAAATTATTGTAAATAGATAATTTTAATAAAATACCAATATTTTTTATTTAAGATATTTTCATAATGGATCCCTTGATTCCAAAGGAGGTGAAAATCCTTGAATCTGCTGAGGATATCCAAAATCGTCGTTTTCAAGTACTTGATCGCTATAGCGAATTCAAAGCAGAAGCCCGTTTAAAAAGAGAAAAACTTGAAGATTCTAGAAGATTTCAAGTAATTTAAAATTAAACTATTTCACTTTTGAAATTATTTTGACAAATGTTAATTTGTATGTTATTACAGTATTTTAAAAGAGATGCAGATGAACTTGAATCTTGGATACTTGAAAAAACACAAGCTGCATCAGATGAAAGTTATAAAGATCCTACAAACTTACAGGTTATTATTACTTATTTTATTTTTATACTGATAAAAAATAATTAACGTGTTGTACATTTTTAGGCTAAAATTCAAAAACACCAAGCATTTGAAGCTGAAGTTGCTGCACATAGTAATGCGATTGTGGTTTTAGATAACACTGGAATGGGAATGATTAATCAAAACCATTTTGCATCATCAGAAATACGTCAGAGATTGGGTAATTTAAATTTGTATTAATACATTTTGTAAGAAACATTCAAATGGGAATATTTTGATGTTATACAAAACAGTTGTATTAAGTAATCTCCTATATTTTTATAGCATAAACCAGCGGTTCTTAACATTTTTATACCTGAGTATTACCTTTTTTTTTGCTTGTATTGCAACTGAAGTAAACGCATACTACCTACACAGTTTGAAAAATTTCATGTGACACATAATCAATTGATTATTTAAATAACGTTTTTTTTTTTTTTTTTTTGCTTCATCAAATATGTACAATTATATGTCAAATAAACCAAATAATATTAATTATTCATTTATTTTATAAAGCTAGATTTTCTTAGCGTACAACCTTTGAGCTTTCCATAAGTTGAGAAACTCTGGCATGAACTATGAATTATTGGTATTAGATATATTATAATATAAATGGGTTTTAAATAAGTTAAAAATGTATTATAAATATTTATAGATAACTCCAATTCATTTTGATAACTTTGATAAAAATACAAACGTAGAAATGAATTAATGATAAATTACAAATAATTTTAGAGCAATTACACAAAGATTGGGATTTACTTTTGTCAAAATTGGCTGAAAAAGGTGTTAAATTACAACAAGCATTGGTTTTAGTTCAATTTTTAAGACAATGTGATGAGGTTATGTTTTGGATTAATGATAAGGTAAATAATTGATTTGAGTTAAATAAAAAAAAAAAAATTTAATTTATTTATTAATTATACCTGGTATCACCATACTAGGAAACTTTTGTTACTACTGATGAGTTTGGTGCTGATCTAGAACATGTAGAAGTATTGCAACGTAAATTTGATGAATTTCAAAAAGATATGACATCACAAGAATATCGTGTAACGGAAGTAAATGATTTAGCTTCCAAATTAGTTCTGGAAGGACATCCTGAAAGGGAAACAATTTTGAAAAAAAAAGAGGTAATTTAACAACATTCCTGTTTATGTGGTTTTTGTATACAAATTGAATGTATGTACTTAGGATTTAAATGAAGCATGGACTCGGCTTAAGCAATTAACTTTAATGAGGCAAGAACGATTATTTGGAGCTCATGAGATACAACGTTTTAATCGTGATGCTGATGAAACTGTAGCTTGGATATCTGAAAAAGATGGTATATTGTCTTCTGAAGACTATGGAAGAGATTTAGCTAGTGTGCAAACACTTCAGGTTTGTTATAAAAATATGATTTATATTATTATATTGAGTAGTATCATTTAAAGCTGGGTTCCCGCTACAACAAGTCGTGTAAGGTTAAATATATTCAGCTTCTAGGTAACATGTTACCTACATATAAATATATGAGAACGGCATGGTGTAGAGTGAGGCCAGCTTAAGGTTGGCTTACAATAAAAATGTTATATCTGTAATACACTAATGTAATTTATGAAATTCAAATTATATAATATTTGGTCCATTTATTTTATTTAACATTTACTTATAATTTTGGGAAGTTATAAATTGTATTGACATTTTTTAGCTATAGTCCTTCATTTTTTACAGTAAAATGTATAAACAATAATTGTATGATCTTTTATTATTTTAGAGAAAACATGAAGGAGTCGAAAGAGATTTGGCAGCTTTAGAAGATAAAGTTTCAATTTTGGGTCAAGAAGCAGATCGCTTATGTGGAATTCACGCTGATCATAGTTCACAAATCCAAAATAAGCGTGGAGAAATAGTTGCTTATTGGGAACGTCTGACTGCTAAAGCTCAGGAGCGTCGACAAAAGTTAGATGAATCTTATTTACTTCAACGTTTCTTAGCTGATTTCCGCGATTTGACTTCTTGGATTAATGATATGAAGGCAATAATATATTCTGATGAATTAGCAAAAGACGTGGCTGGTGCAGAAGCTTTACTTGAAAGGCATCAAGAACACAAGGTATGTAAATAATAATTATATTTCAAATTTAATTTTTAATTAGTATAAAAATAACTAATTGCTTGTGTAGGGAGAAATTGATGCTCGTGAAGATAGTTTCCGGATTGCATTGGAATCTGGAGAACACATATTAAAAAGTGAAAATGCTCCTACATTAGTTAGTGAAAATTTAGGTAATTTGATCAGTGAAAAGAGTTCGTTGTTAGCTTTATGGGAAGAAAGACGTATTTTGTATGAACAATGTATGGATTTGCAATTGTTTTATCGTGATACTGAGCAAGCTGATACATGGATGGCTAAACAAGAAGTAAATATACATAAAAAGATATATAATTCACACAGTATACAAATAATATGCCATGAATTATAATAGTAAATAACGGAGTTATTTTAAAGTAAAATATTATATTTTCTATAGGCATTCTTATCCAATGAAGATTTGGGTGATTCACTGGATAGTGTTGAAGCATTGATTAAAAAACATGAAGATTTTGAAAAATCTTTAGCTGCTCAGGAAGAAAAAATTAAAGCTCTTGATGAATTTGCCACAAAATTAATTGAAGGACAGCATTATGCCACTGAAGATGTTGCACAACGCCGTGAAATGGTAAATAATAAATATTCAATATAAAAATTGCATATCATATTGAAACTACTTTATTTCCGAAAGATATTTTAATTGTCAGTTAAATTACCTTTTAGTTGTTAGAGAGACGTACAGCATTACTTGCAAAATCATCACAAAGACGTAGTGTTCTTGAAGATTCATATAGACTTCAACAATTTGAGAGGGATTGTGATGAGACTAAAGGATGGATAAATGAAAAATTAAAATTCGCTAATGATGACAGTTATCTCGTAAGTAGTATTTATTTTTTATTAATTTGGATTATATAAATATAATAAGTATTTTTTCTTATCAGGATCCAACCAATTTAAATGGTAAAGTACAAAAACATCAAAACTTTGAACAAGAACTAAACGCTAACAAATCTCGCATGGAAGAAATTACTTCTACTGGTCATGCTCTTATCGAATCTAAACATTATGCTTTGAGTAAGTTAATTTTATGTTAGCAATGTTTTTTTGAAGTGCAATTTCTTTACGGACTTGACAATGAAAATTTGTAAAGAAATTATCACTGACATTTTTTATCTCCTTTTATTTTTTGTTAGGTCGTATTCAACTAAGAATGGATGAAATTGTTCATTTATGGGAGAATTTAGTTACTGCGTCAGGACAAAAAGGTTCAAAACTACGTGAAGCTGCACAACAACAGCAATTTAATCGTACTGTTGAAGATATAGAGCTGTGGTTATCGGAAGTTGAAGGACAATTATTAAGTGAAGATTATGGAAAAGTAATTTTCGTTAATATTAGTCAATAATTTTTTCTGAGTCATTTGTCCTGTTTATAGTTTATTTTTATACTTTAAATACTATTTATTCTTTTTCTTAAGGATTTAACTAGTGTACAAAATCTTCAAAAGAAACATACTTTGTTGGAAGCTGACGTTGCCTCACACCAAGATAGAATCGAAGGCGTAAAGATAACAGCTGATCAGTTTGTAGATGGAGGTCATTTTGATGCAGACAACATTCATGCAAAACAAGTAAGTACTCAATTTTTTTGTTTCTAGCAAAAAAACATTATTTAATATTTTATTTGCATATTAGGTTGTGTTATGTGATCGTTATTCATCACTAAAAAAACCAATGGAAACACGTAGACAACGTTTGGCAGATTCACTTTTAGCACAACAACTATTTAGAGATGTTGAAGATGAAGAAGCTTGGATTCGTGAAAAAGAACCCGTAGCAGCATCAACAAATCGAGGTGAATATATCTTTGTTTATAATAATATTTTAGATATAAGTATTTATAATTTATTATTTAATATTTAAAATAGCAAATGAAATAATAAAATTAATAAAGTTAATTAAATGTATAGGTCGTGACCTAATTGGTGTACAAAATTTAATGAAGAAACATCAAGCTGTTGTGGCTGAAATCAACAATCATGAATCTCGTATTGCTGCAGTCACTCAAGCGGGACAACAAATGGTCGATACTAAACATTTTGCTTCAGAAGATATTAAACAACGTTTAGCAAATCTCAATAAACATTGGAATCATCTTAAAGAAAAAGCATATCAGGTATGAATTAATTATAGAAATTTTTTTATTACTAATTTTATTTAGTTATCATTGATAGGTACTTTAAAGTGTATAGTATCAAAATATATTATTTTTCTTACCACACTGAAAATCTCACTAAGCTATAAAATAGTTTTCTATTTTATGAAAGAAAATTATATTATTTTCAGCGCAAACAAGATTTAGAAGATTCTCTTCAAGCGCATCAGTACTTTGCTGACGCTAATGAAGCTGAATCTTGGGTTAAAGAAAAAGAACCAATGGTATTAAGTCAAGATTATGGAAGAGATGAAGATTCTTCTGAAGCTTTATTAAAAAAACACGAAGCATTGTTGTCAGATTTAGAAGCATTTAAAACTACTGTTGGATCACTATCAGAACAAGCTGCTGCATGCAAGGTAAAGAAAAAGTGTTCTCTGTTCAGTCACTAAAACTTTTTATTGTATTGTTTCTAGTTATGTTTTTGTGATAAATACATTTTTATTTCATTATTTTAGCAACAAGAAACTCCTGTAGTAGATGTTAGTGGAAAGGAGTGTGTAATGGCATTGTTTGACTATACTGAAAAGTCACCAAGAGAAGTTTCCATGAAAAAAGGAGATGTTTTAATCCTATTGAACTCTAATAATAAAGTATGCACTTTTTTTTTTTATAAATTATATTACCAATAGTTTTTTATTTTTTGTAATTTTTCAAAAATACTCTTATTTAACCAATTATTATTTGATTTTATATTATTACATATTGTTAATGTTTAATAATTTAGGAATGGTGGAAAGTAGAGGTTAATGATCGTCAAGGATTTGTCCCCGCTCCTTATGTTAAGCGACTTGAAGTTTCTGGTCTGAGTGCATCTCAACAACATTTGGCTACTGGTGGATCTATTGCAGCCAGACAAGCACAAATTGAAGCCCAATATACAAGGCTTTTGAATCTAGCTAAAGAACGACAAACTAAACTCGCTGAAACTGTTAAAGCATATGTACTAGTAAGAGAAGCTGCAGAATTGGCCACGTGGATCAAAGATAAAGTTAGTTCAGGTTTTACACTATTAATAAGGGTTTGTATAATTATTAAATTCTTATGTTCAATATTTAAGGAAAATCATGCTCAAGTTCAAGATGTTGGAGAGGATTTAGAACAAGTGGAAGTCATGCAAAAGAAATTTGATGATTTTCAATCTGATTTGAAAGCAAATGAAGTACGGTTAGCTGAAATGAACGAAATAGCAATGCAGTTAATGAGTTTAGGTCAAACAGAAGCAGCATTGAAAATAAACACACAAATTCAGGTATGTTTGATAATTATTGTTATTGCTGTTAATTATGTATACTATCTACTGAGTACTGGCTACTGTAAACCAAGGCAGCTTACACTTTTATCTATGATTTAAACCATTTTGTAAAATACTAAAATGCAGTTTAATTATGATTTAACTATTTTTGTCAAAATTGTTACTTCAAATGTCTTAAAAAAAAAAATTGTGGCTGGCCGGTAACTTTTTTTTGTTGTAGGTTAAAAAAAAAGGCATGTTATATACATGCGTCAAATTTTTTTTGTGGTCCGCAGCTACCAATATTAATTAATATAATTTAAGTTTTAAATCATGATCATATTATGTATATAATATATAAACAGTATATCATTGCTAATTATTATAATTATTGAATAGTTTATTTTATTGGCATATTCATAATATGTTATTCCAATTTAAATATATTTATTAATTCTTTCTAATGATATTGAATAGGATTTGAATGAAAAGTGGACATCTCTTCAACAACTTACTCAAGCCCGAGCTACACAATTAGGATCAGCACATGAAGTACAAAGATTCCATAGAGATGTTGATGAGACTCGTGATTGGATCCGTGAAAAAGATGATGCTCTTAATAATGATGATCTTGGTAAAGATTTAAGAAGTGTTCAAGCTTTACAGCGTAAACATGAAGGATTAGAACGTGATTTGGCTGCATTACAAGATAAGGTTAGAAATATATTTTTTTATATTAATAAATAAGTATATACTTAAGTTCAAATAAAAACCCAATCTTTATGAATTAGATCCGCCAATTGGATGAAACTGCTAATCGCTTAATGAACACACATCCTGAATCTCGTGATAATACTTACATGAAACAAAGAGAAATTAATGAAGAATGGACTCAATTAACAGCAAAAGCTAATTCAAGAAAGGAGAAACTTTTAGATTCTTATGATTTGCAGAGATTCTTGTCTGACTATCGTGATTTAATGTCTTGGATTAATTCAATGATGGGTTTAGTTTCTAGTGACGAATTAGCATCTGATGTCACTGGAGCTGAAGCGTTATTGGAACGTCATCAGGTAAAATAAACAATTTGAAATAACTACATTTTTTAGATACCAATATTAGGTTTATGCTTAAAAATATCCACAGTATTAATTAAAGCATAATTATTTTTTATTTATGTTCTATCATTTTTGTAGAGTTTGAGAGCTGAAATAGACTATCGTTATGGTATAGCTCAGGTATAAAATGAAGTATTGGTTTTTGTGTATATGTCATTTAAAGTTTGCACTTCACTGACACTATTAAATATATTTCTAAGTTTTGGTTTTTCATATTCTAAAAACATTATTTACTCAATACTATTTAGTAATAAAACTATAGTGCCCAGACTCTCATGAATAGATAATACTTACTTTTTTTAGTCTTTACTTTTTATATTGATTTTTTAATTAAACTAAATATTTATTTACTTTTGGAAGCAAGTTGTATAACAATTAGATTTATCAAAATAAAATTCTGAACAAAATATTTTCCAACTGTGATTGTTATTAAGTGTGCTTTATTTTTGTGTATACAACAACACTATGATATTTGTTATCTAATCAATTGATAATAAAAAAAAATATAAATTTAAAGTTCATGCAGTTAAAAATTTCCAGGGTTCCTTTGGCGTATATGTATATTATAAAATTAATGAGAATACCTATTTTATAATAAGTAATAAAACTTTCTTTATTCAAAATTGTTTTAGCTGACATTGAAAATATAAATATTGAATAATGAAGTGTATCCTGTTATTAATTTTAATTTTTTATAATAACAGATTAAGATATTTAATAATTATTTAGAAAATTAGGGATAATGTACTTACATTTAAGAGTTTATTAAAGAATAGTACAATTTTACCTTATAGAAAAATTTTTCCAATTATCTGGGCCTTGATAGTTATTAAAATAAAATAAAATGAATTAATTGTTTTAAGTTTGTATTTTTATATAACTATAGCTTATTTTTTTATTATAACAGTGTTATTACTTATAAGTTATAACTTATGATGTTACAATCATTAAATAAAAAGAAATTGTACACTAATAAAATACACCAATAAATTTTTCACTTCAAATATATATTTTAGACATTTTCAAACTAATATTAGTAATAACTATCAATAACATTTTACAGGTGATATTTCCTTTTTTTTAGTATTACTAAAAAATTAATATTTCATTCTGTCTCACTTATTCACTATTAAGATTTAAACTACTATTATTCTTTTTTTATATTAATTTTATATTTTAGGAACATCGTACAGAAATTGATGCTCGTACTGGTACCTTCCAAACATTCGAAATGTTTGGACAGCAACTCTTACAATCTGGACATTATGCCAGTGTGGAAATACAAGAAAAAATTGAAAGCATGACTGAAGCTAGACAAGAGTTAGAAGAGTGAGTTTTCAGTTAGTAAGAATATATTTTCCCAGAGTCTATTAATATTAAATTTTACTTGCAGAGCATGGATAAACCGCCGAATGCAACTAGATCAATGTTTGGAACTGCAACTGTTCTATAGAGATTGTGAACAGGCTGAAAACTGGATGTCAGCTCGAGAGGCATTCCTTGCTTCTGAAGAAGTTGATTCTAAGGGAGATAATGTGGAAGCTTTAATTAAAAAACATGAAGATTTTGATAAAGCTATTAATGCACATGTATGGCTGTTGTTGAAATAATTATTTTCTTAGTTTTAATTTTAAACATACTAATTTACAGGAAGAGAAAATTGCGGCTTTACAAACACTAGCTGATCAGTTAATGGCTGCCCAACATTATGCTGCAACTCCAATTGATGAAAAAAGGCAACAAGTTCTGAATAGATGGCGTCATTTGAAAGAGGCTTTAATTGAAAAAAGATCAAAATTAGGCGAATCGCAAACATTACAGCAGTTTAGTAGAGATGCTGATGAGATTGAGAATTGGATTGCGGAGAAACTTCAACTGGCTACAGAGGAAAGTTACAAGGACCCAGCAAATATTCAATCTAAACATCAAAAGCATCAAGCATTTGAAGCAGAATTAGCTGCTAACGCTGACCGAATTCAAAGTGTTTTAGGCATGGGACAGAATTTGATTGATAAACATCAGTGTGCTGGATCAGATGAAGCTGTTCAGGTACTAGTTAAACTATCAAATATATTTTTCATATTTATGAAGAAATATGTTTTTATTTTAGTCAAGATTAGGATCAATTGCTGATCAATGGGAATATTTGACTCAAAAAACAACTGAGAAATCATTAAAACTTAAGGAAGCAAACAAACAACGTACCTATATTGCTGCTGTAAAAGATTTAGATTTCTGGTTGGGTGAAGTAGAATCATTGTTAACATCTGAAGACTCTGGAAAGGATTTGGCATCTGTTCAAAATCTAATTAAAAAACATCAACTTGTTGAAGCTGATATTCAGGCACATGAAGATCGTATTAGAGGTTAATATTGTTAAATAATGTGTATTTAAAAACTAGAAGTTTTTAGAATAAAATGTCGTCATACTCTTTAAATAATTAAATGGTAAATACATTTTTTTTTTATTCAGATATGAATGGTCAAGCAGATTCGTTAATTGAAAGTGGACAATTTGAAACAGGAAGTATCCAAGAACGTCGTAGTTCTATCAATGAAAGATATGAACGTATTAGAAATTTGGCAGCCCATCGCCAAGCTCGTTTAAATGAAGCTAACACTTTACATCAGTTCTTTAGAGATATTGCAGATGAAGAATCATGGATAAAGTAAGAATAGTTTAAGTTGCATATTATATTAACTATGTTTTATGATGATATGTATTTATTATTATTAATAGGGAAAAAAAACTTTTGGTTGGATCTGATGATTATGGTCGTGATTTAACTGGCGTTCAAAATCTTAAGAAAAAACATAAGCGACTTGAAGCAGAATTAGCGTCACATGAACCTGCTATACAATCAGTTCAAGAAGCTGGAGAAAAATTAATGGATGTTTCTAACCTTGGTGTTCCTGAAATTGAACAGGTAAATTTTAAATTTTTTTTAAAAGATTTTTTTATTGATTATTTTTTTTTTTTTTTTTAAGCGATTGAAATTATTAAATCAAGCATGGGATGAATTGAAACAAATGGCTTCAAACCGAGGGAAAAAATTAGATGAGTCTTTAACCTATCAACAGTTTTTGGCCAAAGTAGAAGAAGAAGAAGCTTGGATCAGGTCAATTAATATAACATTTATAAGTTACCTATGTAGCTTTAATGTATTAATTAAATGTTTACATATATGTTTTATGTCGATTATTTTATATATTTTATTATTTTAGTGAAAAACATCAATTATTATCTGTGGAAGATTTTGGTGATACCATGGCAGCTGTACAAGGTCTTTTAAAAAAACATGATGCATTTGAAACTGATTTTGCTGTTCATCGTGATCGTTGCGAACAAATAAGTCATGGCGGTATTGACCTTGCAGATTCAAAGAACCATCATGCAGATAGCATATTACAGCGTTGCCAACAACTTCAGGTATCTATACAAGTTATTTGTTAGCTTATAATCTAAGTTGAAAATATTAATAAAGTAATGTTTCATAAACAGATTAAGTTGGACAATTTATCTGCATTGGCTGCTAAACGCAAGTCAAAGCTGATGGATAATTCTGCTTACTTACAATTTATGTGGAAAGCAGATGTGGTTGAATCATGGATTGCTGATAAGGAAACTCACGTTAGATCAGAAGAGTATGGTAGAGATTTATCTACTGTTCAAACTTTACTTACTAAACAGGAAACATTTGATGCTGGTAGGGATACAACTATTTTTTTTTATAAAATGCAACCAACATAAGTAATGGTTAAAAAAAAAAAATTATTTAGGTCTTCATGCGTTTGAACATGAAGGAATACAAAATATCACTGCTCTAAAGGATCAATTGATTACTGCTAATCATAATCAATCGGAAGCAATATTAAAACGACATGCTGATGTGATTGATAGGTATTAACTTATTATTTTATTAATTGTATAATATTGTACTTTATATTTTGTTTAATTTAATATTAATACTATTGAACATTTTTTAGATGGCAAAAATTATTGGGTGATTCTGATGGCCGTAAACAGCAATTATTACGTATGCAAAACCAATTCCGACAAATAGAAGAACTGTACTTGACTTTCGCTAAAAAAGCATCTGCATTTAACTCCTGGTTTGAAAATGCTGAGGAAGATTTAACAGACCCTGTGCGTTGTAATTCCATAGAAGAAATCAGAGCACTTCGTGAAGCACATGCACAATTCCAAGTAAATAAATCATTTGTCAAATCAAATTGTACTTGATAGTTATTTTTATGTAAATTTATTTGAATATTATATAGGCGTCACTGACATCTGCTCAGTCAGATTTTGAAGCATTGGCTGCTCTTGATCATCAGATTAAGAGTTTTAATGTAGGCCCCAATCCATACACATGGTTCACAATGGAAGCTTTAGAGGACACTTGGCGTAACTTACAAAAAATCATTAAGGAACGAGATATTGAATTAACTAAAGAAGCTCAGAGACAAGATGAAAATGATACACTTAGAAAAGAATTTGCCAAACATGCCAACACTTTCCACCAATGGTTAACTGAAACCAGGTATAATTAATACTGTACTACTGTATTAGTTATTACTTATTACTAGGCTTCTTCAACTATATATTTTTGAATATCGATATCGTTTTGAATTGTGCGATATCAAAAAAAAAATGTAGGTATCGATATTCCGATATCTCTATGACTATCATAATTGTCAATACTCAATTGACTAGGTAGTAAGTAACTAGTAGGTATTAGTTAACCTTCAGTAGGTCACGCGGTTTATGAGTACTTATTCCATCGCGTGGGGTAAAAATTTCCCTTGATTAAACATAATTTATATTTTTTTCAAATTTATTTATTTTAAATTTTATATTTTCGTAAGTTTATAACAAAATAGAATACTAATGTAATTAATTCTTTTAATTTATCATTAATTGTTTTATTTTTTTACTTCTTAGACAAATAAATGATATATTATTTTAAACTAATTAAAAAATAATTAACATAATTTTTATAATATATAACATATAATAAGAAACTAGATACGATCCCACCATATTTATACCAACCTAAATAATATTGATGGTTTAAAATTAGTGGGGTAGTAAATTACCCTGTGTGACCTACTGAAGGTTAACAATTAATTATGTAAAACAATATCATTCAAGAGCTTTGGCATTAAAATCAGTTCAGCTTGCTGTACATCGATTATCGATATATTACAATTAACGATATATTATGACTATCAATACCTAAATATCCGAGAAAAATAAAAGTTTGCGATATCAAATCGAAATATTGATTTCGTTGAAGAAGCCTACTTGTTACCATTGATTTTAGCAGTTATTGATGCATTTTTTATTTATTCCCATTATAGAACATCAATGATGGAAGGATCTGGTTCTTTAGAACAACAACTGGAGGCCATAAAAGTATTATTTTTTTACTAAATATTTAAGTTAAAAATGTGTTTTATTTATTCAATTAAATTATTTATTAGCGTAAAGCAACTGAAGTGCGTTCTCGTCGTTCAGATTTAAAGAAAATTGAAGACCTTGGGGCTATTCTTGAAGAGCACCTAATATTGGACAATAGGTATAAAGTTAACCAATCTTGAATCTTATTTGCAACAAAATATACTAATATTAATCAATCATTGATTAGGTATACAGAACATAGTACCGTTGGTTTAGCTCAGCAATGGGATCAACTAGATCAATTAGGTATGCGAATGCAACACAACCTAGAACAACAAATTCAGGCTAGAAACCAATCAGGTGTCAGCGAAGATGCTCTGAAAGAATTCTCTATGATGTTCAAACACTTTGACAAGGATCGGTCAGGGCGTCTTGATAAAACCGAATTCAAATCTTGTCTCAGAGCTTTGGGTTATGATTTACCTATGGTAGAAGAAGGACAGCCTGATCCTGAATTTGAAGCAATACTAGGTATTTTGTTTGTTATGATTAGGGTTCGGGACTTGTTGCATTTGCATATGGCTTAATAATGACTGCAGAATAGTCTAAGTAAGATTTAAATTTGTTTTAAGTCAAAACGGATTGAAATACAAAAATTTTAATTGCATATTTTTGCATATTTTGCCGTTTTCTGAGCAAAATGCATGTTTGACAAATTTTGGCAGTTTAATTGTTAATTACAGCATATTTAAGCAGTTTTTGTTTTATGTTAAGTACATTTATTTTAAAGGTTAACTTTATTTTTTTTTACTTTCATGCGTGTTCATATCTCTGTTCTAATGTCTAATTGCGTACAGTCAAACTTTACAAGTGAACAATTCATCGTTTTTATATTTAATAATAATTTAATATATTAAAGAAAAACCCAACCTTTTTTCATTGTAGGAGACGACGAAGAAAATGAAATCGAACATAACACTTCCAGTAATATATGGTTGTAGTATTATTGTAGTCAAAAAATATGACTAATTACAAAGAAGGTCTAAATTTAAATGAATTAATACAAATTTTTAAGTTTAAAAAAATATTAATTATTTCAATGCATATTTTGTTCGCATATTTCGGTGATTTTAAGTGCATAGGTCCATGCATATTTCCTATAATGTGTGTGCATGAGTACCGCACCCGAGTTATGATATTGTTGTGTTGATATTTAATTTGTTTGTTTTTTTTCAGATGTCGTAGATCCAAATCGCGATGGTTATGTATCTCTTCAGGAGTATATGGCATTTATGATCAGCAAAGAGACAGAAAATGTACAAAGTTCAGAAGAAATTGAGAATGCATTCAGGGCAATCACAGCCGGTGATAGACCATAGTTACAAAGAAGAACTGTATGCTGTAAGTATCAACAATAAATACCTGATCATGACCACTTCGCTCACCTCTTGATATTTTATATTCCATATTTCATATATTTTGGTTGTATTAATATTGATTTGTGTTTATTCATAGAACCTTACCAAGGATATGGCTGATTATTGTGTTGCTCGTATGAAACCATTTGTGGATACAAAAACGGAACGGCCAATCACTGGGGCTCTAGATTACATAGAGTTTACTAAAACACTTTTCCAAAATTAAACAATAATACTATCCTGCACGCTACATCAGAGATTTTTTATAATAGATTTATTTACGTATACTTAACTATTTATTTAGCTTAAGACTAAATCATGTGAGCAATTTATTAATAATTTGCATTTGAAATGTTATGTCAATAAAATATTCTATTTTTATTTTAAGTGTCTAAATTTTAATTGAGAGTGAATTTTTATTTGATGTATTTTTATGTTTGACATTAAATGTTACCATCAATGAAATCTACCTACTACTAACTATGTTTTTTTTTTTTATTATTATTTATTTATTTATTACTTAAGAATAGAAAGAGATGATTATATTTATATTTATTAAATTGCTTATGCTTGTGAGTTTTATTAATGCAATTATGTTTTACCTAATTTATTTTTCACATTAAAGTCTCGCCAAATAATAAAACTTGTTGTTTCTTTCATTTTTATTTCCTCTCATAGTTTTTAAAATATCAAGAATTAACAACTTATATCTACTGTATAATATTTGGTTATTTTTATGAGGTCGGTATATCATTACAGTGGTATACAAATAGACAATAGTATAATAATATGTCTACTTGAGATAAATTAAAATTATAATTTAACAAAAATGTATCACCTCTAAGCCAGTAGCAGATACCAAGGTGCCTTATAGTTTTTTAAATCATACTTATATAGTACTTTTAACATTTTTAATTACGTGTAGTAGTTTAATTTAATAGTTTTTAGAACCTTAAATTTATTTTTTTATATTATTTTATTTTACTGAACACCTATTATTGACAAAAGAATTTTTATAAATGCAATTATATACTATTATTATTGAAACTATCCCCTTCACTTAACTCATCGTGTAGTCCCAGCTTCTTAAGTTAAAGTGATATTGACAATTTAATCTGAGCTATGTATTTATTATAAATGATCACGTGTGAAATAACTATTTTTTTACATGGTTTCAAGTCATTAAAAAACAATATTTTTTTTAAGTTTTAAGCTTTTACTTTTTTGAATTATAACATACAGAATATCATCTTCGAAAGCAGTTTTTCTATGTATTTTGATACATAAAAATTGAATATAGGATGAGTGGTTAAGTATTTAAAGTTTAGATGAGCAGAGTAGAAGGACCAACATTATGAGGGTACCACGTAATACTACACCACTCATCTAAACTTAAAATACTTATAACTCATAAACTACTAGTCCTAAATTAAATTTCTATAATATATTGAAATACTTAAAGAAATATTCTGCTTTGAACTATGAAATTAAAACTGAATTTTGACATTTAAAAAGTAATAAATTAACGTTGACTATAAAATATATATATTATATTTTTAAAGTTTTTTGTTTTTTAACGACTAGAAACTATGTAAGAAAAATGTTTTCAAAATCATTTAAAATTTTCTGAAATAATAAGTGTGCACTCTTCGATTATAAAGGATCACCAGGTTATATTATATAAAATGTAATACTGATATATAGCTATTTAAATGTATAGAACTATATAGAACTATAAAAAAAAAAAAACAGAACAATAATGTAATATGAGATGGGTCATCATCCTCCAGCAATAAAACCCAGCGTGATTAGTGATTACACCATAGAGTAATATTACTCTATTCTTAAAATAAGTATGTCTTTACTACAATAAACACAAATGTACTATTAACTCTAGTTTTAAACCATTGTAATGTAATAGACTAATGACATGTTGATGGATATCTGTTGGAATTTGTGACTCGATGGCGACTTCTGTCCTTGAAAATGTATGATAAATACATAGTGATATCCTGATAATATCACGCCTTAAAGAAAAATAATTTAGATTCTACACTGTAGTTATTTTCTATGCAATGAAGATGCGACCAGCAATGCGGCTTTATGCATATTCTTCACTTATTTAAAATGACTTAAACCATTTAAGTATATTATACATAGAACTAGATTTTATTTTACTAAATATTTTACATAATATTTATTTACTTGTACAATAATTTAATCATAGTATATTAAAATTGATGTTCATCAAAAGTAGTCATGAATGATACAAAATATATCAATCACTTGCTATTGACAATATCCAATAAATTTATCAAATATTCTGCTAAATTCTTGTAAACTTTAACCTAAAAATTAAAATACAATACGCATTACTAATAAAAAGAAATTCAATAATTCCAAAAAAATTAAAATTACTTGTGAGGATTCCGGATGAGTAATGACAATAGGCTGACCAGAATCACAACCATTAGTTATAACAGGATCCAAAGGTACAGAAAACAATGTATCTATTTCTGAAAACAATAGTAAACGTTACTACCTAGTGAACAAGTTACCAATAAAATAATTAATTACTTTCTTGTGTAGCTAACTCTTGGACACTATCTCCAAAAACATAATTTTCATGCGAACATTTCAAACATTTCATGGTACTCATATTTTGTACTATTCCCAATATAGGAATGTTCAACTTTTTAAACATTGTTATACCTCTCTTGGTCACACCAAGAGCAGCTTTTTGACCAGTAGTAACAATTAAAACACCTGCAAGCCATAATTTTGTTTTTAAAATATTTGATAAAGTTTTTATAAATATCTAAATTTATAATATTTTTTCAACTACCGCTTATTGGAAGATTTTGTGCAAGTGATAGGTGTGTATCTCCCGTTCCTGGAGGTGTATCCACTATTAGGTAATCTGTATGGTCCCACGAAACACCTCTTATTAATTTATCAATGGCTCCCATGACCATAAGGCCTCTCCAGATGGCTGCTGATTGTTCAGTTATCAAGTTACCCATTGACATACTTTAATAGTAAAATAAAATTAGATTTCAAAATATAAATGTACTTGAAACAAATAATTTACCACTTAACCCCATAGTTAACGAGAGGTACCATAAGGTTATCTATAATTTATAAATAAAGTTGAATTAATTAATATTTAATTTAATTCAAGTACAAGGAATAGCAACCTTACCATTATTAATTAAAGGGGTTTCATGTAAATTCATCATTAATGGTATAGATGGACCGAATACATCAGCATCCAATAATCCGACATCTTTGTTAGGTGCAACACTCTTTAAAGCTGTTGCTAGATTTACTGTGCAATATACATTTATTTTTATTGTTTAAGTATTATATAGTTTACATTGTAAAGATTACAGTATGAATTGTAATATGTACATTAGCTTACCGGCAGTCGTTGATTTTCCAACGCCTCCTTTACCGGACGCCACCAATATTATGTGTTTCACACCTTTAATTGGTTTTTTTTGAGGCAACTTTTTCCTCATGAGTTGTGCTTGTTTCTCGGTTAATTGCGATAAATGTTTTACACATGAACATTTTAACTTATCCTGGAATAATATAGCCGTTTAACCATTTTAAAAATACCGAAATTAAAAACAACATTTTCTCACATTAATCATTGGATAGATCCGGTTGATTGTGGATCCTAAACTCGTTGTAAACATTATAAAATATAATATTCTAGATCGACAAATAAATTATATTATTTATATTTCTAATTTCTGCCACGATTCACATATTATATCAAGTTTCAACGAATTCGGCAGAATATTTTGAAAAACACATCTTATCTCTAATATTCATGTTATAAACAATTTGTCAGTTTATGATAAGAAATTATATTTTGCGCGATAAAGACTTGGAATGTTATGAACGCATTATTTGGAATGTTAAAATCATGACAGTAATTAATATTAATGTGAATTAATTAAAATGAAACACATACCAGTGGCGTATATACGAATTATTTTCACTATGGGCCAATTTATCAGTTATCACTAGTCAAGAATAGCACGACTAACATAGCCATAACTTTACATTTTTTAGGGAGCTGGGTTATAACTATGACATAAACAGTACAAATAAAAATTACACAATTTAATTATTATGTAAAATTAATTTTTTGATTTTTTTTTTTTTAAAATATTGAAAGTGTCATTTATATATTTTAATGTCATCTTACTATGAATTTAACATCAAAGTCAATTATAAGTCATCAAAGCAAGTCCTGACCATCTAACATTTCCTTGTTGATTCTTCAAAAACGATTTTAACCAACCGACTAACTTAATCATGGTGAAAAACTATAAACAGTGTAGATATACATGCAATGCTTTAATTGAACCTGTAATTTCACTATGGGCTCTGGCCTAGGGGGCCTCCCCCCTATATACGCCACTGACACATACCACTTTACTATTACCACAGAACTATTACTATTACTATTACTATAATAGTTGAAACTACTTGGTTAGTACTTTATAGTTGTTATATAGTTGGGAATTGTCCGGACGCAGATCCAATCGTAATTTTGTAATTTATTTAGATATGAATATAAGATACGATGATTTTATATGAAGACTAGATACGAGTATACTACCAAGTACCTACCAGTGTTTTATTCTGCGATAGATAGGTACGTTATTATAATTCGTGGGTGTGAGTGAAAAAGGGGTTAAGTCAACAACTATGAACTTTTCAGGAAATTAAAATTGAGGTTTGGAACAACATGTAAGATCGTGTATATTAGGGTAGGATGGAAATTTCATCTTACTATGCATTTTATAACTTACATATAATTTAAACCTGGCTTCATTAAATGCATAGAAACATTTTCGTGAAATACCGTTGATATAATTTACATTACTATCCCTTCCAAGTCTATAATCTATTATTAAGCCTAGATATGGTTGAAAAATAACATTCACTCTACCCGAAAATATGATATAATCACGGCTACGGCTGAGTTATCAATTCACCAGAAATATAGTATATTATTTGACATACAAACAAAACCAATGATCCACGGACTATGTGGACAATTAAATCCAAATTCTAAAAGTATGAAAAATTTAAAGTGTAAATATAAAGAACTTTGACTGTTGCTTGATGGCAGGAGTATAGATATCCAATGTTGCAAAAATTTTAACTTCGCTTATAAAAATGGATTTTGACTTTCTTAGTTTCTTAGACATTTTTTTTTTTTGATAAAGGTAGCCAAACTTATAAGGAATCTTGTATTAGTGTATTACATTTTCAAATATTTAGGAATTTCTAACTCAAAATAAGTTTACAAATGTTCGTGATTTTTACGTTATTCTTCCTGATACACCCAGTATTATAAGATATTCCTTTTTTATTTACACTTTTATAAATTAGTTTGTTTCTATGTCATATGCCTTTGTTTAAATTTGTTAATATAGACGATTTGGATTTAGAATCTTAAAGACTTAAAGTTTCCACCTTACACCTTCTCTAAAAGAATGAATATTATGATGAATTACAATTTACAATATATTATTTGTGTGTTTTCATTTTAAAATACCTATTCATTTTTCATGTTTGTAAATTTAATGATTGGTACCATCTACTAAAATGTATAATTTAAATTAAATTAAAATCATTCAGTTAAAATTAATAGCAACAATATTTAAAGTTCCATTTAAGAAAACTTTTTTTTAAAGTTGACAAACAAAGTTTGCAATACCTATTAACTATTCTTTATAGGTATTAGATGATATTTTTTTTAAAAAACAATGACAAATATGCAAATAACAAAAATAAATGTTGCTAATGAGAATATAATTAATATACTTATTAGGTATTTATTACATATTAACATACATTATAATATTATGTACGTATAATATTATATGTAAGTATGTAACACGTCCTAAGTGATGATAGGGCTAATCATCTGTCATCCTCTTCGTATGCACAGTTTAAATTGATTCCATGCAGATCGTATAATATAATCAGGAAAAAAAGGATTGTAATAAAATATGAAATTTAAAAAAAATCTGCTATTGCGTTTAATTTTAATATATGGCACTAACTACTAATTAATTTAATTTGACAACCGGGACAACATAAACGAAATTGTGTCGTATACGTTGTACGGCTGTACAACACGTTATTCTGGAGGTCAGTTCATTATAATTTAATAACACGAATCAATTGCGTGACGACCAAGCACCTGCAATTTATACATTCGACCATTTTCTATTACATGTCGCAAACGTCGTCGGTACAATATTATTAACACGCATATTTCACATTCTGCCGTTGTAATTTCTGTGCTCACATATAGGTCACTATTGGATAGGTGAATATTATATTGTATATACCTAAATTAAAAAAAAAAACAAACAATCAATAGTCAGAGGTAGGTAAGTACATTATATCGTATCATGCATGCATATACCAAATTGTCATATCCGTTTATTACAATAAATAAATATATAAAATTACATTGGCGATAATATGGTTATTTACTGTAAGTATACATGGATTTTTTTTTTTTTTATTTTAAAAAGTAAATTTACAATCTATACAACAGACAGGGTATAATGAGTAAGTGTGGTGACATAAGAACATTACACATAAAATAACATTAATAGGAAGGCTTCCAGCAGTGCCACCTGACCAGAAATGACACATGTAGTTAAAACAGTATTTTTGTATTCATTTCCACACAACAATGAAAATTGAAACAAAAATATAACATGTGTTTTTACCCTGTTACGTGCCTGAGGTAGTTTTGCATAACAACTAGATGGACATTTTTTATTTAAATTTTAAACTGTCCGAGCAAGCAACCTTGTCTGGTGACTGGTTTGTATAATTACAGTAAAATATTGTTTTTCACACCCTGTGTGAACTGACCACGAGGTGCAAAAAACCCCTGAAAATAAGGCATTTAGGTCGGTACATTTTCAAGTTTGACTAAAATACTAATGACTTTCACATCACATTTTATTTTGCACCTTCGTACAAATAAATACAATGGTTTCAAAAAAAAAACATTTTATGGAGTTCTAAACTATAAATTTGTTCCGAAAATGTAATAATTTTTGACTGCAAAATCTCAACCTTTTCGAGACCTTTTCAATAAAAGAACAGCTACCCGCGCATGGGTGGTATCAGTGAGTTTATTGGATTTTGTTCGTAGTCTGTAGGTTTACTATATAGTATATACATATATAATAGACTATACTGACTGTAGAGTATAATACAATGTATTTAATATTATATTATTATATTATAGCGGTTATTCTTTTGGGTATTATATTAAGCTCCGAGACTCTCATTTCGATTTGTATGTCGCGGGGAGGAAGATGGGACTATTCAATTATTCAATTAAAATAGATTTTCTCGGAATAATGCGTTAACTTCGCTATAGTACAGCTCCTGCTGTTGCCACTGACGCCGCCGTCGGACAACGACCGTGTTTAAAATACAATTGCGCTGTGTGAACCGCAGCCGCGATTCCTGGTACCGCCGCCACGCCGTAGTTACCGCAGCCAAACCCAACCGACCTCCTCTTGGATATTTCGATTATCCTTTCGCAATGTGCTAGATAATGATAATTCGATGCACCATAAAATAGTAGTCCTAAAATAAAAATAATTTTCAACCTTGGAAATGTTATAACGGTGTAATTTATATTATATTATTATTATTATTATTATATTGCTTTAAAGTGGTGAGAATATATAATATAATAATACCTATACAAATATTGTTTAGAATAAAATTAGAATTGTGCATTAATCGTACAATTATGTTAATGTAATATTATAAATTATTTTATTAATACCTCAAATAAATTATAAAATACCACACATCGATCCGATATTTGTAATATTACTCTCATACCCTTATACCTATTTTTAATATTTTTAAATTACTTTTAGAGCAACTCATGTGGGATATTACATTAAATACCCATTTTTCCTTCATTTAATTTAATTTAATTTTTTCTTGGTTATTAAAAAAAGTGATTTACGATGAATTTTTTTAATCTATAATAATTTGCTACCAGAAACTACCCTATGAGTTGAAAATGCAATTATTTTTACCATTCAATAAAAGGTATTACCTTAAGATAAAATTAAGGTAAACACGTAAAAATAAATAAGTTAAATGTTGATGTTATAGGTATTCTTTATACACATAAAGACTTACGAAAAGAAATACAATTTGGATGTAAGTATTGTATATTTTATTCAAATTGTATAATATTATTTTTAATATTTCTATCATTGTCTATCATAATTTCAGAATAATTCCAATACAGTATATTATGCTTCATTCACATAATAATATATTATATAGTAATGGTGAAAAGGCCAAACAATGCTACCTCCTCCCCTCCCCCCTAAATGCAATTTTACAAGAGAGACAAAAATTTTAAAATTATTTAAGGAAGGTAACATTTGATTGGCGAATCGTTGAACACGTTTTTGAATTAGTCGTAATGATGCTCCACAGTGAAGGAAGTTGAGGGTATAGTATTTTCCATGGATTGGTGTTTGACATGGTGGAACCCACCCCGTACTTTTTAGGGTTACATTGTTAATTGTTTGCACATTACAAAATAATAGTGGGTTACCCTAAGGTCATGATTACTGCAGTAAAGGTAGCATTCATTGACTGGAACTGT